TGCTAAATGATGAAAAAAAAAATATATATATATCACTTCACATAGCGCTCCTACAATCTGGAACTGTGTCAAATATCCACAAAAGCCAGCTTTCATGCTGGGTTGACAACCAGAGGCTATGGACGTAAATCTGAAAATAACCTGGATAGAAAGAGGCGTCCCAACTAGACAAAGCTGTGGAGCTCACGGCAAAGTGAAAAAAGGACAATTGAAAGTCACATGGATTTGACATTGATTTGTGACAAAAATGAGAAGTCTGTCACAACAAGATGTTCAGACTGAAGTGGGTAGCCTACATAGACTTCATCGTACTAACAACATGTTGGTTAGTCTCAGGGTCTGTGGTTTGGGTATAACTGCATCACTTCAACCTGCTCAATAGACTGATTGCAACCTAGGTGTCGATCACAATCTCTAAAACCGTTCTTCCTAAGAAAGGGTCATTGTTATTGGACCTACAGAAGCCTACCTGAGCGGTACAATTCATAACACCGAGAGACACCAGTTGTAACATCAAATCAAGCGCTAACCTTATGTTTTGGGGGGAAAACATGTTTACCATATAACTAAGACTAAATTACATATTTGATAGGATTGTGATTGTTATTCCTTCCTGTTTGAAGCACTTTTGTCAAAGTCCTGTTCAGTGATAAACATCTATTTCATCTACTCACAGATAGATAGAAGCCTCCCTTTAATCTCAATATTTCTCTACGTTTGCATCCCAAATGGCACCCTATTCCCTATATAGTGCACTACTTTTGACCAGAGCCCCAATGCACCCTGGTCAAAAGTAGTGCACCAAATAGGGAGTAGGGTGTCATTTGGAAAGCAATCAAAATATAATCTCAAATGATCTTCATAGGCTCTTGAAGCATCTAATTTATGCTGTCTCAAATCTGTTCCGCCTGTAATCTCAGTCCCAATTCAATGTTTGGATTGGATTAAATGGTAAAACCATCATGACAATATATTTTTCAAGATTCTATTTTGGGATGACGTAGTCTTGTAGTTACCCACTGCTATGATTCTGGGGCAGCATAGCCTGAAATCCAAACTGATATGCTCAGTTTCATAATTGTTTCATTGCATATCAGTGTGGATTCCAGGCTATTGGCAACAAGACATAATGTCATTTTGTCTATATTTAAAAATGTTAGACAAGAGATCAGGCCACCCTCAATACTCTACTCTGCTTTATGAACAGTGTTCAACCTGATGCCCTCATTGAAACAGGGACGTCAGACGTTCAGGCACTGAAATACCGATAAAATATTATTCTAAGAAATGAACCAGCCTAGAAACCAGGTTGGAATGTTCATCAGCCAAAGGGCAACATAATGAAAAATCCCTTCAAAATAAAACATTTCAATGTCTGACTTTGAAAATAAATGTACACCCAACACTGTATCATTCAACATAAATTTTAAAAAAAAAAATGCTTCAGGTTTGGATGAATTAATTTCATTTTCATTTTGTATATCGAACATTTAGATGAAGGGACTTCAGTGGTCCACCAATAGGATCACTTGGATCACTCACATTTTGGGTATCTGTAATATAAGTCATTTGATAACATGATTGGTTGTACTTGGACTATGGCGATACTATTTATGTACAAGCCTCAAGCTCTCCACTGAAGGCTCTTGACTCCGTGTATCATGCAGCCCTTCGTATTGCCACCAATCAGAGACGTCTAACTCACCATTGTGATCTCCACAGCGCTGTCGGGTGGACATCACTAGCAACACCCAGGCTTAAACACTTGTGGGGTTCTTATTTGCAAAACCATTTTATCTATCCTCCTCTGCTAGCTCGAAATGAAAACACATTCAAGCTCTGATCTCAATCTTGTTTTATGCCAACAGTCCCGAATATTAGAACCCGGCATGGAAAAAGGTCCTTTCATCACTCAGAACCCCCTGGTCTTGGAATTCCCTCCAAGCCAACCTAAAACTCCAGGACCATGGTGTCCCCTGGAGGAGTTCAAAGGACAAATAGATGAACAGGTTGTTGAGACACGTAGTTGTTTCTAGCGGTCACTAGTTTGCGCTGCCTTATGGAAGGAAACACGTTGTTTTACTTCAGACACGACACATCCGCTGTCTGATTCATGCTCTATTTCAGCCTCCTGTCCCTTTTGTCTCACATCGTTTTTTTTTTGTGTGTTCCAATAAATAAATAAAAAATCCCCGTCCCCACAGGAGGCCTTTTGCCTCTTGTCAGGCCGTCATTGTAAATAAGAATGTGTTATTTACAGTTTTTTCCAACTGCTTACACACGTTTTCAAAACTATGTCTCCTTTTTTCAAAACTCTACACACAATTCCCAAAACTGCACACACAAATGCAAAATGCCTCACATCTCCTTCAAAATGTAACACTGCATTCAAAATGCCGTAAACACATGTCAGAATGAAGCATTTGCATCAAATGGCAAACACTTCTTTCATAATAGTAAATTTTTGGATATACCATGTAAACACTGTTGTTCTAAATCTAAAGCTCTTTGGTCTTTCATAGGCTTATATCTACATTTCAATACAATGTTCTACAGTGAAAGTAATCTGCTGGAGAGGGGTAACAAGTACACTGTAAAACACCAATGCAATGTAGAAACAGAAAATATTTATAGAGGCCAAACATTACTGTTGTATACAGTAGCACACAACAAAAACCATAAACATATGTAAACCAAAAGTATATTCTTTAGAATACAGTAAAGAACACAATTGTGTGTGTGGGGTCCCGGGGGGCAGTCCAGGAATTGGTAGGGGGGTGGGCAGTCACCAGTGCTAAGCTACGCTTCCATCTCTTCTCCGGGCTGGGTCTGGCCACAATACTTGGTCCACATCACAAGATACGTTTTCTCTTGCCAAACATCGAGGGAAGTATCTCCTAGCATGGCGTATCCAACCTTGGACAGAGGCAACCTCTATGTCCCCACATGCGTCCTCCATTGCCTGGAGAAGCCGGCATGCGGGCATAGGGTTGGCAATCATACACTTTCCAGCGCCGGCTGAGAAGAATTCCCTCTATGGGATTTAGAAAAGGTGAATATGAGGGTAGGTACAAAACTACAAATTGTGGATGGGTGGCAAACCAGTTTTGGACCAGAACAGCCCGGTGAAAACTAACATTGTCCCATATAACCACAAATCCAGCAGGCTCCTGATCTGGATCAGGGACAAGCATTGTGTAAATTGCATCCAGAAAAGTGAGCCTATGGCCGGTCTTGTACGGACCCAGTGTGGCATTGTGATGGAGGACCCCGTTTTGAGTGATGGCAGCACACATGTTATATTACCCCACGCTGTCCAGGGACATTGGTAATTGCCCTCTGTCCATTTTACATTTCTTCAGCGGCGCCTGGTTTTGGTGAGGTTGAAGCCAACCTCATCACATAAATAAATCTCCTTCCTTCTCTTCTTTGCCCTCGTCCTCTTCTTCCTCTTCATTTTCCTCTTCCTCCTCCTCCTCCTCTTCCAACACTTCGTCTTTGAATTTGTCCTCGTTGTTGTCCCCTGCCTCTCCCTCCTACTCCTCTTGCTCTCTGTTCCATTGTTGGCATCCATTGGTTCAAAACAGGTAATCTGACCATTGACCTATTTATAGGCCTATACTAAGTAAAGCTGATTGGTTAGTGATCAGTTTAAACAATTAGTGTTTCACATGTGGAGAGTGTGGTGTGACCCGGGAATAAGTGTTTCATTTTTTAAAGGGTTTTGGGTTGGAAAAGGAAGCAAGTCATTCCTGTTTTGTTTTTTGGGTTTTAGGGAGGAAATTTTTGGGGTGGTTTTTTTGAAAAAATTGTTTTAAATGAAAATTGACCCTTTTTATTTTTTGGGGGGGGGGGGGGGGGG